GCCCGCAAGCCCAACCCACTCCCTAGCCATCTAGCCAGCCAGACAACTGGCTAGCCATCTACCAACCAGCTAGTTGGCTAACCAGCTAGCCACCTGCCAGCTAGCAATCAGCTACCAACCACCCAGCCAGCCAGTCAACTGACCAGCTAGCCAACCACCAGCCATCTAGTTGGCCTTCAAACCAACCAGCCAGTTGGCCAACCAGTCAGCCAAGCAGTTGGCCAGCCAACCAGCCATCTAGCTGTGTGGCTAACCAGGTAGCCAACTGGCCAACTCTCTAGTCAAGTGTGCAAAAAGCCAATGAGGCATCCATGCATCCAAACAGCCAGTTAGCCATCTGGCCACCGGCCAACTAGCCATCAGTCAGGCGGGAGCACTGTCTGCCCACGTCCAGGCAGGCGCTGGGAGCTGCCTCGCCCTCACCTCTGTCCTGTGGCCTCGTCCCCGCATCTCCTGGCTGCGTGTTGAGAGGGATGCCACCATGTGTCTGTGGCTGCACTGGTCACCTCCCTGCTGCCCTGCTGAGCCCTGATGCGCTCATCACAGCCAGCGGGCACTGGGCGTCTCCCAGGCCACCCCTGGGCAGAGGCACCTCCAGCCCTGGGGGTTTTGAGCCTGTTTTCTGCCCAGCCCAGCACTGAGAGGTGTTGGCTCCCGCTGGCATCATCTTCACCTCAGGATCGGTCCGTGGTGACAGCTCCCGTGCTGATCTGTACTGGTGCCACATCTCCCCAGGCATCCACGGCCTGGAAAACTCGTCATTAATTCCTCCTTTTAATTACCTCTGTCTCCCAATGAAGTGGTTGTGGGGTCCTTCCTCAGGGATGGGAGTGATGTGGGTCTGGAGGTTGCGTGGCTGGTGTGGCTGCTGGCCCCACTGGTGACTGGGGAACAGTGTGGACAGGGGTTCCCAGCCCCGGTCCTCCTGCCCCGCTCCTGGAGGTGTCTCGCTGGATGAGTGAATGCATGGATGGATGCATGGACACGTGGGGGCGGGGGGATGGACAGACGAATGAACAGACGCATGGATGGATGCAAGGGCATGAGGAGGGATAGAGGGAGGGATGCATGGGCAGATGGATGTGTGGATGGATGGATGTGAGGATGGACGGAAGGATGGACGGGTAGAGGGAACGATGTGGAGATGACTGATGGAGGATGGATGGAGGGGTGGAGGACAGAGGATGGATGGAGGAGGGATGGACAGATGGAGGAGGGATTGAGGAATGGAGGATGGAGGGATGGAGGAGGGATGGAGGGATGGATGGAAGATGGATGGAGGATGGATGGATGCCACCAAGGTGGTGGGAACCAGCAGCAGAAGCCCCACGTGGGAGCTCAGGAGACCTGGCCGCCTTCGCAGCCCTACTGCAGCCTGTGCAGCCCAGGCTCCCGCTGCCCCAGGGTGCCCTGCCCACCCCAGCCCTGCCCTTGCTGCCCCCGGCTGGGTGTCGCCCTCCCAGGCCCCATCCCATGCCCCTTCCCAGGGACACAGTGTGACTTGGGGGGGACAGCACCCAAAATCATCAGGGACAGCTTGCAAACCCCAGCTCCCTCCCCAAGCTCGTCAGCGTGGGCCGACATCGGGGTCGTTAAGTTATTTCTAGCTCTGAGTCCTAATTACTGCTGAGCCGTCAGCGCCGCCCACCCGAGCCAAGCCGCGCTGTGGGGCCGGGGGGCGGGTGCCACCGTGCCAGGCGGCACAGTGTCTGTCCCCACCGACCACGCAGGGTCCCCATGGGCAGCATCTGCAGC